AAACAGAAAAATAATTTTCCCGGTTGATAACCTGCTGTAGAGAGAGAATATCTTTGATCGGGACCAATCGAAAATACGGATATATTTTGATACGGAATTTTTATCTTTATATTAGGAGCGCAAAAAAGTTCTGAGCCCTTTTTTGCAAAATTCAAAATTTATTTAAAAATAAACAAAACTATATTAATCAACGAAATATTCTCCGTTTGCATCGATGACCTTTTGACATCTTTCGCTCAGCTTGCGAATTCCCTGATAGTAGGAGCTCACCGGCTTCGAAGCGATAAAGTCATCAATGCATTTTCGTAACTCTTCAAGTGTCACAAAATGTGTATCAGCCAAGAAATTCTGCAGAGACCGGAATAGGTAATAATCGGAAGGCGCCATGTCTGGGCTATACGCCGCGTGCGGGAGAAGTTCCCAGCCTAACGCAAAGATATGGTCCTGAGTCACTTTCGCAACATGTGGTCGGACATTGTCATGAAGCAGTATCATTTTACGACGTCCTTTGCCAGTAAATGGCCTCTTTTCTTCAAACGCATCGCTCAAATTGCTCAATTGTTGCTGATAGCGATCTGCCGTTACTGTTTCACTCGGCTGTAACAACTCGTAATACAATACACCTTTCCATTCCCACCATATGCAAAGCAAAACCTTCTTGGCGTGGATATTGGTCTTTGGCGTCGATGTCGAAGGTTGACCAGGGTCAACCCATGATTTTTTACGCTTCGGATTATCATAAAGTATCCACTTTTCATCACCTGTAATGATTTGGTGCAGAAAATCCTTTTTCCGGAACCTTGAAAGCAAAGTGAGTGCCGTGTCACGCCGTCGATTTTTATTGTCTTCGGACAGTGCATGCGGAACCCATCTGCCTTCCTTTTGAACTTTTCCCATTGCACGTGTAAACGTGTGGAAATGGCTTGTCACGTAACGCCAAGTTGCTCTGCAAGCTCCTTTTCAGTTTGTGCAGAGTTTATATCCAACAATGCTTGCAGTTCGTCCGTTTCAACCTTTTGAGGGCGTCCAGCACGCGGTTCATCTTCAAGACTGAAATCTCCTTAGCGAAATTTTTGATACCACCTTTTACACGTAGCATAACGTACAACGTTCTCTCCATATGCAACACAGATCATTTCAGTGGCTTCAGCAGCATTTTTCTTCAGATGAAACGCGAAGTGGATGGAAAATCGAATATGCTCTTTTGTTATTGCCATCGTGAACACTGCTGATTTTAAGGTTATGTGCATCAAACGCCAAATCGCACGATGTTTCGAAAGACCAAATGTCACTGCTTTAAAACCGTAAGAGGGCGGGAAAATTAATGCAATTTAAATTGTGGTTTCAGTAGTATGAAATTTAGGGCTCAAAACTTTTTTGCGCTCCTAATATTTTTGTTCCAACATTGAAAATTTAAATGGGACTTGAAGCTTTTAAGAGAGCTGATGAGGAACAAGTTGCAAAGGCAAAGATCGTAAAGAGTTGAACACAGATGTGTAGTAAATTTTACCTTCCGGCCGACCCTGCTCTGCCCGAACCGAATCCTCCGGTGCGGCATCCGCGTCCGCCGGACTTGCTTCCCGCAACGTCTGGAACAAAAATTTAGCGTTCTTGGTTGGTAAGCTGCGGTAGAGAAAAAATGGTTGGTCGGGATGAGTGGAGAATATTCGCTACGATTTTTTTTCTTTATTGACATTGAATGTCTAGATAGGAGCTCTTGAAAGATTTGACGAAAGAAAATGACAATAAGAAGCGGAGACAACAGTTGTGTGCTCTCGAAAATATTCTTTTACGGATGGACATTTAAATTCAGATCCCGTAACAAGAGTAAACAAACTTGAAAGAAGCGCTGACCGAAAACAAAAAAGGTCGCAGTCTAAGAAGCGATATGACGTTGAATATTCTACATAAGACCAATATTCTCACACAGGAATTGGGAATGATTCAGAATATTTGATTGAGAACATGATGAATTCGAGATCCACGTCCATGGACCGTTATCCATCTCTGTCTGGATCAATATCGTGCAGTTAATGAATGAGATGCCGACGCGATGCCGATTGAGTATCTCGAGGACCGACGAGATATATCAGGTGTAGTAAAAAGAAATCCATTATTTTTCCAATAGATGGCTTTAGTTATCTGTATCTCGCGTTGTATAAGTCTGATTGGGTTCCACTAGATGGCGTTAGAAAGATGAGATTTCGTACTAAAAAAACTTTTCTTACAATTTTGTGATTAGTTGACTCAGTTTTGTTTGAGCGCGCGTCAAAGATGGACACTAGCAAAGAGAAAATACGCTATATTTTACAGTTTTTCTTCGATAAAGGCGAAAACGCAATCCAGGCGGCTGAAAATGTGAATAGTGTTTATGATCCTGATACTGTAACAGCCAATCACGCACAATTTTGGTTTCGTCGATTCCGTTTCGGTAATTTCGATGTCAAAGATGCACCACGCACTGGAAGGCCAATTGTCGAAAATATCGATGAAATCATGGACATTGTCGAGTCCGACCGTCATGTAAGCACTGTTTCGATTGCCCAAGAGCTAAAGATTGCACAAAAACCGTTTGGAACCATTTGAATAAGGCTGGATACAAAAAGAAGCTCGATGTGTGGGTGCCACAATGAGTTAACGAAAAAAAACCTCATGGACCGAATTTTCATCTGCGAACCGCTGCTGAATCGCAACAAAATCGACCCATTTCTGAAGCGGTTGGTCACCGGTGATGAAAAGTGGTCGAATCGTGGTGAGCAGGCGGAAACGGTGGCCAAGCCAGGATTGACGGCCAGGAAGGTTTTGCTGTGTGTTTGGTGGGATTGGCAGGGAATTATCTACTATGAGCTGCTCCCCTACGGCAAAACTCTTAACTCGGAACTGTACTGTCAACAATTGGACCGTCTGAAGGAAGCAATCGCCCAGAAGGGCCAATAGCTTTGGCCAATAGGAGAGGAATTGTGTTCCATCAGGACAATGCCAGGCCACACACATCGATAGTGACTCGTCAGAAGCTCCGGGAGCTTGGTTGGGAGGTTCTTATGCATCCACCTTATAGTCCAGACCTGGCACCAAGCGATTACCATCTGTTCCTGTCCATGGCGAACAATTTTGCTGGTGAAAAATTCGCTTCAAGAGAGGCTTGTGAAAATCGACTGTCTCAATTTTTTGCTAATAGGGACGAGGGCTTCTATGAGAGAGGCATAATGAAATTACCTTCAAAATGGCAACAAGTTATCGAACAAAACGGCACATATTTGACCTAAATCGGATCATTCTAACTATGGTACTTAAAGCCTTCAATTTCATGCAAAAATAATGGATTTCTTTTTACTACATCTAATATTTCTTTTAATTACACGAGACGGAAGTGACGAGAGCGTCGCGCACGGCTGCTGCTGATGGAATGAGGTCGAATACATGAGGTGCGCGAGTATTATAATACGAAGGGCAAAAAGTGTCGTCGCTCGCGAGCCGATCAACACAATCGGCGCGATGTAAACATTGCGGGCCTCGGCGGCGGTTGAAGCAAGAGAGACTTGCCTTTGAGCGTCTCTTGTTTTCTCGAAGGTTTCGGAACGACGAGGGGAATGCGAGGAGGCCTTTCAACTGTACGCGACATTGATGCACTCTATTTATTGATTACTGAAAATAAAGAAAATTACTCTGTCGAAGCATCGGACATTTGTTAGCTTTATGTTAATTAAAGAGGAATGTATACGATTAGAAAATGTGTTAGCAACCAATTGTACAGAGTGTAAGTTGTTGTGACGCCGTTTTCAGAGAATAATTAAAGGTCATGGTAGCGTTAAAGAATGGAATTTCATCCTATGCGAATTTAGTCGCGCTCTTATTAAATATTAGTCCTGTATAAAATGTCGTATTTAAAAGTATTATTTCGCATTCACGAGATTTTGTCGTGAATTCTGCTCTCAGATTGGATCGCGGATGAATACTTTTTAATGCGACGGGGAATAGAACGTGAAAATCTTGTATGCCTCTGAATCCGAAAACGATTAGGAGAAGAAGTGAATATTTTTCAATACGAAAGTTCGCATTTAAAAATTATCGATTGCGATTGAATACAAGGCATATTTGAAACGAATTGAATCCTTATTAATGCGAAGCATTCACTACTGCCATCTCGCATTTAGCGCGGTGAAATTTAATGGGAACTAATACTTTTTATTTTCCCTTTCTTCAGATCAGAAAGCAGAATTCAGACGTATTCAAAATGTCAATACTTTTTAATATGTTTCAGTTCGACATTTTATACAGGGAGATTATCCGCTGCGGACAATAACTCTTCTACTTTTCATTTAATATTCAATGATGATAAATAACATTTAATTACATTCGTTTGGCTTTTTTTATTTCGAAAATAAGAAAATATATACCGGGGTGAAATTTTACCCATGACAACATTAACGTGATTTTCTTTGATGCTTTTTTTAAAAGTTCAAATATTTCGTCGGCTCGCGGGATATTTATAATCGGAGTCTCGTCACGTTAATTACGTGAATAACACGTGCTCCTCCGAGCGGATCGAATGCTCACCGACGGCCACTGTCAGTGCCACGAGCGAATGTCCGGAGCGGACGGGATGCTGAATTAAAAACAAGACGAAGTGAACGGGACGCGGACAACGATACATCATGCGTCTCCATACATGTCAAATTGTTTATTATAGAAGAGACTTTGATACGGCAATATATATTCGAAGATTTAACATTTAATACGTACTTTTATTTTTTCTGCTCCTCCTCCCCTCTCCCCCGCTCTTTTTAGACCACCGGCCATAGTCTGGCATAGAGATGGCAACTGTCATTGCAGCACGGACATAAACCGCCTGAAAGTGGATGTAGCATGGACTTCCACCATATGCAGATTTTACCACCGAGACCTGAAAGTGGATGTACTATCGTAGTTCCCCTCTCAAAATGGATGCAGATGGCGTCCTTTCCCAGTGCGGAAAGTCGGTGTCGCAGAAAATGTCGTATTGGCCGCTCTCAGGTTACTCTCTGCTGCTACTTTCTGCTACGAGTCGTTGCTATCGTAAAGAATCGAGCACGTAGTATAATTCAACGACGAGTCAGATATCGTTCTTATTTTCCAGTTATATTCAACAACAAGACAACAAATCATTATATTTTCCAATTGTACAACTCAACAACAGATTGAACGCATTTTTGTATTAATACACATAACAATTAAAAATTTATCTTTATTGATCAGCTGAATTTAATAATGTGAACACGCGAGCACGTATTTTGCACATGGTACATGTGTACGTGTGAGGTTATCATTACTCTTGGATAGAGGGTATGTGATAATTTGGTTCTCTATAAGAATTAAATTAAACAAATACATTAACAAGGTATGTTTGATGTATCTTCGAGATATATTTGGAGTACATTTATATTAAGTTTACATATTTGTATATTAATTTGTATTAATTTTTCACAAGATGAAGGAGGTTGATCTTGTTGGCTTTACCGATCCAAACGCAATCAGCGATAATGAGGATACTGAAATCGCCAATATTAAAAAGAAGATTTCCAAAAAATCTGGAGGATTTCAGTCCATGGCTCTTACTTTTCCAGTGTTAAAAGGGATTCTGAAACGGGGCTACAAAATACCTACACCTATACAAAGAAAGGTATATAGTTGATAGAATTTTAAAGATATTTTAATTTTATAATGTTTTTAACGCTACAATTCCTATATTATAATATTGGTGTGTGATACTGTATGATATTGATAACTATGTCATTTTTTAATAGACAATACCATTGGCTCTTGAAGGAAGAGATATAGTAGCAATGGCTAGAACGGGTAGTGGCAAAACAGCCTGTTTTTTAATTCCATTATTTGAAAAACTCAAGACAAGACTGGCTAAAACTGGTGCACGTGCTTTAATATTATCACCAACACGTGAATTGGCATTACAGACATTGAAATTCATAAAAGAGCTAGGAAAATTTACAGGACTGAAAGCAGCTGTGATATTAGGTGGTGATAGCATAGATGATCAGTTTAGTGCAATTCATGGAAATCCTGATATTATTGTAGCTACACCTGGTAGATTCTTACATATTTGTGTAGAAATGGACCTGCAGTTAAAAAATGTTGAATATGTCGTCTTTGATGAGGCTGATAGGTAATATTTTCTCTATGGTCTGTCCTAATGATGTGGAGATTATACATTATTAAAGACAAGATTGTGTATTTCAGATTATTTGAGATGGGCTTTGGCGAGCAGATACACGAAATTGTGAACAGATTACCAGAGTCACGGCAAACATTATTGTTTTCTGCTACTTTACCCAAAGTTTTAGTGGACTTTGCAAAGGCTGGTCTGAGTGATCCAGTTCTACTTCGTTTGGATGTTGAGAGTAAATTGCCAGAAGGATTAGAGTTATCATTTATTACATGTCGACCTGAAGAGAAATTGGCTGTACTTTTATGTTTATTAAAGAGAGTGATAAAAGAAGACTCGCAGATAATTATATTTGCGGAAACCATGCATCATGTGGAATATATACATCAGGTAAATAATATATAATATAATAATTTCCTAAATATATCCTGCAAAAACTTGTTTGGAATTTCATGATTGTATGAATTGTTTCATGCAGATATTGGACAAAGCTAAGATCATCAATACCTTCATTTATTCGAACCTGGATCCTTCTGCACGTAAGATAAATACAGCAAAGTTTCAAACCGGCAAAGCAAAAGTCCTGATTGTGACAGATGTCGCTGCTAGAGGAATAGATATACCACACTTGGACTGTGTGATCAACTTCAACTTCCCTGCAAAATCTAAACTTTTTGTACACAGAGTAGGTATGTTCTTTTTTTTAAATTAGATGATGTACGACCACTTTGTCAGGTATTAAATACCATAATCAAAACTTATTTATTTTGCAGGACGATGCGCTCGGGCCGGACGTGCTGGAACAGCATACAACATCGTGAGCGTAGATGAATATCCATATCTTCTCGACTTGCATCTATTTCTTGGCCGACCTTTACTGATAGTACCTGCCACTGGATCTACTGAGAATATGGAATCTGCGGTGGGAAAGATGCCGCAGACCATGATAGAAGAGGAGCTGGCCGAGCTGATAAATTGGCACAACAATTCTACAGATCTTGTGAGTCTACTCAGAATATTTGCAACGCATAAATCATGTAGTCAGCATAGCTCCTTGTTGAAAGCGTAATAAAATCGCTTTTTTTGTGTTCTCAGACGAACATGCAGAAGGTGTGCAATAATGCTTATCAGCAGTATGTGAGATCGCGGCCGGGTGCTTCGACGGAGAGTGTCAAGAGAGTTAAGGAACTTCGCATAAATGCAGCCGGAGTTTTGCCGCAGTATTCCGATGGTTCTTCTACTGCTATGGACTTGATATCGAGAATGAAGAACTACCGGCCGCAGGGAGTGAGTATGAAGCGTTGGATTAGTTTTATATTTATACTTTACTCAACTTATTTATGTATGTTCACCTTTTGCAGACGATATTTGAAATCGGCACGAAGACATCGTCAATCGATTATCAAGTAATGAAAACGAAACGAGCATTTCACAAGGAAAATATCCTCAATTTCCACAAGAAGATCGAGAAACGTGAAGCTGACAAAATAGATACGGAGTCAGGTGAATATTGTGGCACTGGAATGCGTAACGCACGTACAATACGATAGTATTTGTATTTTACATTTCTGTTTTTATAGAATTATCACAGAAAGTTGATCTGCCATCCAGTAACACAGAAGATATTAACTCTGCATTCAACACAGTGGTAGTACCGAAGAAACGAAGCGGTGACAATTTGTACAAGATATCAAAGAAAAGAAAACGCCAAACGAAACGGGACGAAGAATTTTACATACCATATTCCGCACCGGATAAGCATACGGAGGATGGGTAGGAATTACATGAATTACATATTCAAATTTTCTATTATTCAATCGTTATTTTTGTTTGACACCTGTTTCATTTTGCAGTTTAGCGGTCAATACGTTTAGCACAGAAGCTGATAAGGCACAGATGGACTTAACGGTAGACAATGAGCAGTCTCGACATCTACAAACTCAACTGAAGAAATGGGATCGGAAGAAAAAGAAAATGATTACCATTGATAAGGTGTGTACACATATTGTGCATTTCCACGTGTAATGTTTGCTTACTGCGAGAAATTAAATTGTTTATTACAAATTCAAATTTCACCTTGCAACACAGAATCCGAAAGCGGGAAAGATACGTACCGAGTCGGGTGTATGGATACCTGCTTCATACAAAACAAATCGTTACAATATGTGGAAAGAGAAGAGTAAAATCGAGGAAGCTAATGAAGACGAGGAGGAATCGGCAGAAATGAAAAAACGTAAGTCGACGGAATTATCCGAATTTCATGATTTACTTTTATGTCGTTCGCAAGTGTCGATTTCTTCCAATCGTAACAGGAGGAAAATCGTATATGTCTTATATGTATTTTAGTACGCACGACACCGCACACACATTGGGCGCGGCATAACCAGAAGCTTAAGAACAAAATGAGAGCGAAGGATGAACTGAAAAGACCGGAACAGATCTTGAAAGCGCGCAAGCTGCTCGAGAGAAAGCGCAGGAAAAACGGCAGAAAGGGCCGTAAAGGTTCGAAACATGGCAAGAACAAGCATTGAAAGAATTCTGATGAGAAGGACGCATTGTCGTCTCGATGATGAGAGGGATTGTAACATAATTAAAGGTATAATTTACATCTGCCTAGTTATATCACTCGATGTGACCCGAAGAGCATACCCCTAGCGATAACAGCCTGTTTTTCCGAGATTAAAAATACCTTAACACAATTTCGAAGAAGCAACGGTGTTGCGTCCGAGGCGCGACGTAAATATGTGCATGTATATGACACAAATACGCCGGCTAAAAATAATCCCAAACAGATCGATAATATCTCGAAAGCACAGTGACCTTATAAGTGAGCGTTATATGATTTAGGATAGGATTCGACCTTGCATCATCATAGTGAGTGTACAGTTGCATAATCGCGAGGTCTCGCTGTCGGTAAGGTATCAAGACGATTGGCTGGGCTTGCTTTCCGCGAAGCCTTAAGAAATTCCTGCGTCATGCGGACGAGCATGCGACTCCCGCCGCTGGCGAGAAGGAAAAAAAAACTACGCCCTGGTGCGGTTGTAAATTTTATCGAATTAACCGATGACGTCGGAAATTTATATCCGAGCGTCGTGAAGATCATGAGAGTGGTTGCATGACGAAGTGCACGACGAGCGATTAATTTCCGCGAACTCGCGAGAAAGACGTTTGACTGGTCTCCACTGTGATCACATCTTAGGAAAATTTTCAACACGACAAGACGTGTCTCGCGTCGATGTGACAATAGGTTTGCAGGCTGTAGAAAATACAGAAAAAGCGTCTGAAATAAATTGAGAATAATTGAGACATCGATCTTTGTCAGACGGTCATATCGACCATTATTAACAGTCAATTAACATTAGATTGGTTCGTTAATCCTTCTACTCGTGTTGTGACAAATCTGTCCCTTCTGTTTCGTAGAATATATCTAGCCAGTAATCTAGAAAAGAAAGTGATAAGAGGAAAATAAATTGATACTGACTGAGACAGCGGGTGAAACTGGATCTAAGGGATTCAGATTACTTCTATCTCAGTTTTCTTCGAGAAACTAATATCTCTCGCCTCTCTCTCTCGCCTCTCTCTCTCGCCTCTCTCTCTCGCCTCTCTCTCTCGCCTCTCTCTCTCGCCTCTCTCTCTCGCCTCTCTCTCTCTCTCTCTTTCTACAGTTTATACGTGATATATCCTTCATCGCTTAATGTCGTCAAACTGTCACTAATTTTATCAGAGAGGCATGCTCGTGATAGCCTTCGCGATCACTACTAACGTTTTCCTCTTTTCTCTCTCTCTCTCTCTCTCCCTTCCCATCTTCCGTTATTTTCTCTCTCTTCCCATCCTTTCCTCTCACATTCTCGCTCGCTCACTCGCTCTCTATCCGCGATCTTACAATAAACGTATCTAGCTCGTCTATTTGTCTATTTGTCTCCCTCGTGCGTGGCGTCGAGATCGACCTTCCCCCTGCGCAAACGCTTTTAGCTCGGCCGAGGAGAACATCTGCGGCTGTACAACGCAGCTTGCAGCCGACCCTCCGGCCGAAAATAGAGATCATTATGATAGAGCATCTGCAGCGTGCGGGTGCAGGGACGGGTAAAGAGAACTCTCAGTGAAGTACGGGAAGAGCCGAGTCTACCGGCGAGGAAGATTATGTATTTTTGGATGTGCGTGCCACGGTGTGTGTATTCGCGCTCAAACGCTCCTCGATATTTTCTTCTTTTCGCAAACGGCGCGAAATGCGGCCGTCGCGTACCATAATTATGCTCTTCGTTCGAAATACGTAGAAATTAGTACAAGGTCTCTCTGTATTTTCTCTCTTTCTCTCCTTCTGCCTCCTCCTTTTTCTCTACGTCGTTCGAACTTGGGAAGAAGTCGCGACGATTCGTCGCGAGGCATCGCGATTGTAACCGCTTCTCTGCCTCAATTATGTCGAGTGCATAATTCGCGAATTACCGGCATTAGTAACAGATTACAGTGAGACTCTATTATACGGGAGGTACTTAGGAGTTTATATAACTAGATATTTCGTACATCCAGAAGAAGTTCATGAAAAAAAGAGAAACAATCTACAATTGTCGTGACGAAAGCCGTAATATATGTCTTTATAGATTACTACATCAGTCTTACAAGCACAAAGTCGTCGAGCCGAGATACATGGGGTTCTCCATCGCGATCAGTCAGCTTTGAAATACACAATGTTACACTCCTATCTGAATCTCGTCATTGATAGTTACAGTTAGTATTAATTCAACAAAGCAATCTGAACGCATCAATAAGAGGTTTAAGGTAAATTTCCGTTGCAGCAGTCAGCGTCATAACAACTCGCGAGTTGTTGCGATAAGCGAAGTGCTGATAAACCCAAGTCGTCCTATCGACTACACAAATCTTCGAGATCGTCGTCTCGGATTTATTCGGCCGCGAACACGAGACATGAAGGAAAACAAATGTACGTACATAAACCTAGTCACGTTACCGCGCATATTACACGCCGTGCGAATCACATGTCGCACCGTCCGTTATCTGCGCTCTCGGCATCGGTATGTGCGACATTAATTCATGCGCGAATGCATACACACGGACGTGCTCCTATTCTTACGTCGGCGTTTCCAGCCGCCATCGACGACGTCGTCTCAACGAAAGCAATCGGAGGAAGTGGGGAAGAAACAGCGACGTAATGAGAGATAGGCGAAGAGAAGGGTCCAGGGACTCGCATAGATTATGAATGACACAATAGGTCGTCTCTTCGGCTTCTATTCGTCAAATCCCATATTTCGGTGCTGGGATCTCTATAGAAATATCAAGTAAAACTACTTTTTCCAAGATTGACTTCAAATCGGTTAGAGTCTCTCCTTGGTAAAGAGATATCCAGTGAGTACCTCGGGCACATACTCTGCACATAGCAGATCGGTTTGTTTGTAACGCGAATCACTCGTAAAAATTTAGAATTTTTCTCGTTTCCTTCGGAATTCCTTCTTTTGCGTCTCCGCCTTTCCAGATCCTTCACTTCCCTCCGTCGTTTACGTGTTTTCCTTTCTTTTTGCTACAACAGGTTTCACTGCGTTATTTTACCTAAGGCCGCGTGACTTGCTGTTACATGCCTGGGTGGGAATGTCCTCAGTAATTCACGAGTCGGCTTCGTGACTAACGAACGTAGATTTCAATGAATTCAATATAATTCTCGTGAGGGGAGACGAGAGACGGAGAAACTGAGAAAGAGGGAGACCGTGTGTGTCAGCGAGCCATTTCGTGCTATTTTAACATATGTTATGTTTTTTGTGCTGTCGTTTTAGCTGGAAGAATGACGCATCGCGATAAGAATAGGCCCTTTGTGCTCCGAAAACGACGAGCGAAGTACACGAACCTTGGGGATCGAAGGACTTCATTTGATTTACGATAAGCGTTATTTTTTCTGAAAATATTTCTCTGAGCATACCTAAAAACAGACATTTTTGCCCTTAGATGGGAAATAGACATCAATTTTTTAGTTAAAATTTTCTTGGAAATATTTTATTATATCTCTTGTGTTTTGTACATACTCTGAAATCTAGAGAGATTTTTATCTCTCAGGTTTCCGAGAAATTGTCAGGTCAGGTAAAGATCTCTTCCTAAACCAATCGTAGATGTAGAATATTGTTACCTTAGTTAAATCGTTAATGAAGCAGAAAGGAAAACGACACAAGTGGTCGAGTCTACGCATTAGTCAACAATAGTATCTACACTATATGTCATTATTCAATATTTTCCAATACTGAACGTAATCGATATCAAAGACAGATACAACAGATTTTACGGCAAGAAAGATATACCGATCTTCAAGATGCATGTAAAATCACGGATTAACGGTAATCCTATTCTAACATCTATATCAGTCCGAAAGCAAACATAAAATTAAAATTAATTTATATCCTTAAAAATAATTTATACCGGAATGAATCAATGTGAGCCAGCGGTGCCTGTGCGGGACAGTTCACGGACCGCCCTTGCGTCGATCCGTCACTTGGTCGTTGCATTTGGCGCAGGGTCAAGTTGCTTTGCTACTCGCGTGACGAGCGTCGGATGCAAGCATGGTTACAACGACGTGTCAAATTGTCGATGCAATCAACATCGAGTGGTATCTCTGCTTGTAACCGGCAATGCTGGAGCGGTGTTTTCATCTATAATGAAAAGCCATTCAGTCGGTGATCAATTAAAAGGAATGTCGAGTATGAAGGCAATAAAGTGAAGAAGTGATACGAGGGGAAGAAACAACTTGGTACATTTCATTTCTATGTCGTTTATATGCTACACTACTCATCGATGACGTACCAGTCAATACGTTTACCACCAGGTGTTAAGCGCGCCTTGAATCGTCGTTCTGACGCGCAGGTAGAAAGCGTGGAATATTCCAGGAAGTTGTTGGCGCTCGGCTGGTTTGCGGCGTCTCGGGATTCACGGCCGTTGTGCCGTCCGGCGAAAATAACCTTACGTGTATCTCGTAAATATAACCACGTGCGCTGGCTGTGTATTGTTCCGAAAATTTGACGTCCGGTGACGTCGCGTCTCTTAGAATTAGAATTCGGGGACGTGCCGCCGACTCAAACGAATGCTGCGTTACGTTTGTGGTAGTGACTACAGCAACAGATTGCTCTTATCGATGCTCTGTAACGAGCTCTCTCTAAAGAACAGAGAAAACATGTAATTATTAAGTCATTAGATACTACAATAAACAGACGTTTACGACGAGTAAACGCACGATTTACATTTTGGGCGTTCGCAATAGAAGAGCAACCAAGTGAAGTATATATCGATGAATTAATTCAGTGACTTTCACCGTGTGACAGACGAGTATATCAATAATAATAATAATGAATATATAAATACATAGTGTGTGCTTGTGGGAGAGAATGGCTAAGTAGGTAATAGGGTAACTAGTAGGGCAAATGAGAACGGTGGGATGACTTACCAATATGACGAAGTTAATAGTCCATCAAGTTATTATTCGTCAGAGAGGTAGCAAACGTAATATGTCCCATTTTAATTGATTTAAATATTAACAATAATTAATACTAATCTTCTTAGAGCGCATTGATCTTGATTGATTTGTAATACATTCGTCGTCCGTCCAACTTTAAATCGCTGTAAAAAATTGATGTTGTACTTTTATTAATAATCAGCATAATATAATTTATTTGTGAAATTAACTTTAATTGTTCTTCTCATTTTCTTTTTTCTTTTTGTTCTTTTATAAACGGTTCTTCGAGTAAAGCAGTGATAAAGCTAGAAATATTGTTGCGTTCGATCTATAAATAGTCGTATAAATATTCAATACGAAGCACGAATAAAACAACGCGGCATATGCGTGTTTATACAGATTACGATTAAGCGTGGCATCCGATAGCGATATTAAGAACAAGGTCTCGCGAATATGTTGCTTTCCAAATAAGCCAACGTGCTATATATCATATCGATTTTAACGCAATCAGGGACAAATGAGTCAGCGCGAACGAGTTATGCCACGAACCCTTACGATCGGAAAGCCATTAAATGCCCGCTACGGCAGTATGCATTAATTGCGCATGATATCACACGCGATAGTGTTTACGACGAACATCGCCGCAGAGACATGCATGACTGTTCCGAATCGTGTACGTCATAGTTGAATGCGTCATAACTCGTCAAAGCTCGTCAGCAGCTGTGGGAGCGCGGATTTAGAGCCCATTCTGCGAAATTCAAGTAGCGGAAACTTCACGACGAGACGAGGAGAGAGGAAATATTTCTTGCAGTTTATAATAATTATAGACAAGTATAGTTGTTAAATTTAGCTGAATCGGGCTGAAGAATCAAGAAGAAAACGACGACCGGTCTTAGAAAGAAGAGGAGCAGCTTTTTACCATGCAGTTTCGCGCGATATAACGCCTCGTTTATGTCATATTGTTTTCGAAAGATTCCGACTCCTCTCGTAACTTCCTTCTTCTCGGCTTTCCTTCTCCTTCGGCAAAACTATCGAGCGAAGCATTATTCATCGCGAGGTGTTTCACATGTAACTTCACAGCCGAGGTTCACGCTGAGACCCTGCAAGAGGAAACCTGCAATTAGGCAAAGGGTGTATCCTACAGTGATTCTCAAGTATCATACACACGCACACATACACACATACACCAGATTTTCGAAGATCAAGTTGCACGGGGTGCGAAGGTCCCCGTAGTCGGTCCTGGATGCACGCGTGCGGAGGCCCGAACCCAACAGCCCTGCGGCGAGTCACGAAGAAAGCAAAAGGCCGTGCTATTCGAAAGGAAAGCAGCGTACGCGCGATAACGCATGGCTGCATTTGGAGCAGCGCGGCACCTAGTGCGTCCAACTACCTGGCCTCCGGTCTCCGCCGCTACGCTAGACAGTCTATGCCGGGTGCAGTTGTACTCGCGGCTGTACCGACCTTTCCCATTCGAGTTAGCCCTGTTCGTCGTCGTCGTCGCATTACCAACCTAAAAACGGGGTGTTATTTTCAATGCGAATTCACACACAGGCGCAACAGCGTGAAGAGCGCCGCTCTTGGAGAGCGCTAAGAGTCCGTTTGAATCAATCAGACCGGGGAAAGTTGAGGAAAATTCTTTTCGCTTACAGTTAACGGTAAAGCATTATCTTCTTCGAAGAGTTCGAAAAGAGACATCAATATGTGATAAAGTACGAGGCAAAGAGACGAACAGTCGAAACGTCGAGATGAACAAAGTTCTTAGCTGAGAAAACATCGATTAATTCATACCTCGCGCTAAGTTAAATTCCTTTGCGAATCAATTAGGTATGTTATTGTCAGAATCAAGGGAATATATTGGCGTTCTCTTGTGCATAAAAAGAACTGGTAAGATCTCGACGAGAAAAAGTGGCCAAAGTCTGCGATATGAATCTCGTATCGATACTTCGCCGCCGATACGAATGTAAACGTCTTTCAGATAAATAAATTCTTAAGATAAATAAATAACTCGTAGAACATATTGATATCCGGCGGTAGATAAATATGCGCACATTTTTCTAAATATTATCATAACTGTATTACGCACGAGAGGCATCTTTCTTCTCAACCGCATCTTATGTTCGGTGATGCCAGTTCTCCGTCATAAACACGAGTTCAAATTACGCTCAGTGCTCCGCCAGATTACTCGGATATTGTATGATTCTCTTATCTCGATGCTGTCATACCATTCGACTGATAGCGACAATGGCCCGATTGTCAGCTACTACGAAGACGAGGACGAAGATGAGGAGGAGGGAAAGGACGACGACGACGGCGGCGGCGGCGGCGGCGGCGTTTTGGACTCTGCGGCGAACAATGCTGACAATGAGACTGTCGATACCAATACCAATGGCAATCAATGAGTATTGCTTAGACAAGCCGTACCTTTAGTGTAAAATGTGACGGCTATTGATGTAATAGCCGTCGCGCAGCGCGTACGCATAGTGTAAATATACGACGGCTATTGACATAATAGCCGTCGCGTAGTGCGATCGTAGTGCAAATGTGACAGTAGCTATTAATGTAATAGCGCGCGCGTACCTCGGACACACGCTGTCTCGTCCGTTGCACCTCGCTGTTATCGCCGGTTATTGCGTAAGAGCGATTTAGAAGCACTGGCTTCTATCAAACGCCTTTTAGACGCAGCCTGCCGTCAGTCGTCTTATCTGGACATTTGTTAGTGTCTCTAGGAGCTCGAAGGGATCCGTCCCGCTGAGCGCTGAGCAAGTGACGCTTTAATAATAACACGGGAGGACCCGTCACGGGTCACGGGGAGTAACACGTAGACTTTTTCTCCCCCCGTAGATCCGTCCCCGCGCGGATAGTTTTCACGCGAATCCCCCCACGCGGCCCCAAGTTCACCCGCTCGCTGCATTTTTATCCAGTGACACGTATCGCGAAACGTGACACGGGACTCGGTCAAACGTATCTTTGCGTAAACAAACGTGAGCGCGCATTCCACTGACAGCGGATTTTTTCCAAACGGAGACCGGTGATTCATGTGGTCTCGCTTGTGCGCTCTTTGTTTTTTTGTGACACGCTCCTACAAATATATTTTATGTAATCCTATCGATATATACACGGGCAGTCGGAAGATGTCGGAAGAATCGGAGTTTCGATTTATTATTCTACAGATTTCCCGCGTTTCAAATTCCTATCAATTCGTAGAGGAATTTTGAAATTTCGAATTTCGATTACCGCCACTTGCAGAACCAGCCTCGAGTAGAATTACTTGGTTGAGAAGAAATTTCCAATGTAAAACGTGCAAGAGGACCAGCGGATCGTAATCGTCGACATCTGATCGCCGGTACCGTCTACAAAAGCCACGGGCCCGTTTGCGCGCGGTACGCCCCTGCGCACCGCAGCCGCCTTCACTCGGGTTTACGTTCCCCGCGTTGGTAGCAGTGCGCTCAGTGTGGATTCAGGTTCAGAATCAGTGCGTCGTGCGTCAGACAACAACGTCGCGTTTGGCGAAGCAGCCGTCGTAGTCGTCGTCGTCGTCGTCGTCGTCATCGTCGTCGTCGTCGTCATCATCGTCGTCGTCGTCGTCGTCGTCGTCGTCGTCGTCGTCGTCGTCGTCATCGTCGTCGTCGTCGTCGTCGTCGTCATTGTCATTGTCATCGTCGTGTGTGTTCGTCGTTCTCGTCCTCGTCCTCGGTCGCTCCGTGACCATCCACCACTACGTCGAGGCGTCCGTCTCGCGCGCGAGGAGCCGCGTCTCTCCGTGGAAACGAAAGCCGACGGGGCCCACAGCGAGCAAACGCTTACGGCGGCCGTTCCGCAAAAATCGGCTTGCTCTCGCGATGCATCGCGCGCATCGCGCCCGCGACGAAGCCGCCACGATCGACGCGCGTTGTTGGGCGTAGCCGGTGGCGGCGATCGTCGGAGAAACGACAGGAGTGCGCGTGTGTGTGACAGCCTGGGACGTCGCGCTGCCATTGCTGACGGACGTACGTGCGGAGGAGCCCGTCGTATCGTGTCGGTGCTCGCGTACCTGTGCCTCGCCTACTCGGTGCTGGCGTACTCGCGCTCGCGTCGTGTACACCGTCTCTCCGTCCGTTCCTCTCTTTCTCTTTCTTTCTCTCTGTTCCTCTCCTTTTCTCTGCCTCTCTTTCTCTCTCTCTCTCCTCTTCTGTCTCTTTTTTCGCATCGCTCCGTGGCCGTTCGACACGGACACGGGACGACACTTCCGTCTCTCCTCGCTCCTGCTCTCTCCTCTCTCTCTCTCTCTCTCTCCCCGTCTCAGCCGCAGGTACAACGGCGGGTATCCTCGCGCGTCGCCGCCGTGCAAAACCGACGCGCCTCGGCCAAGAGCATCGAGCAACAGCACACGCGAGTGTGAGGCATGTCGTCGCACTGCTCGTAGCGGGATACAGGATTCGTGCAGCACGAGGTGAGTGTGAGCGTCGACGTCGGTTACGACATTGACTGTGGAATCGACTCGGATTTGTTTGACGCGCTGCGGCGGCAGCCGTTTCACGACGATTGATCCCTTCATCAAGGACAACGCGACGGCAGCCGCCGGCCTACACACGGGGAGGGCTTTGCTTTTCTGCATCATGTCAACATACCAACGCGCTGCAGGAAGTTCGTTCTCGCACACGCACGCACGCACGCACGTACGCATACGCACGCATACGGCACACCCATCTTGCTGCGCGAGCGAGCGAACGGGCGAAGCGAACGCGCGCGGGTCGTCGCAACATCGCGAGCGGCTTGTCGACGCGCTGCGGCGCGCCGCGGCGCGTCACGGCACGGCACGGCACGGCTCGGCTCAGCACGGCCGCGGTACCAGGAGACGCTCGCGCGGTGCGGCGAGACGCGAAGGCGGTGCACAGATCGAAATCGCGAGAGATCGCGCTCGCCGTCGCGGATTCTGCGTGGCGAGCGAGAGAGAAGAGCGCGCGCGATAATTGTCGTCGCGTCCTCGTTGACTCGCGAGCTCCGCTCAGAGGCAGCCGCGAGGATCCGTGAGCGACGTGAACGTGAGCGGCTGAATTCTTATTATCGCCGTTGACGTGCGAGAATGTCCTTCGCTTTCCTCTTTTTTTTTTTTTCCGATCTCTGCCGTATGGGTGTGTGCTGCACGTCGGTATGCACGTCGAGTTCTCGGACGGTCGATTTTGATAAGGATAACGGTCGTTTCGTTATTGTTCGTTGCCGGTTTCATTAGGCTAGGAAATGAAGCGGCACTCTTTGTTATATCGATGTTGTTTGTAGTCTTTGATATGTCCGCAGTATCGAAAGTGGGGCTACTCACTGATGTGACGAGGTCGAAGTTCGGGCTTCTCGTGTAGTAGACGCGCGCGAATGTCTCTCTCTCTCTCTCTCTCTCTCCCCCTCTCCCTCCCTCTCTCTCTTTCTCTCTCTCAACGTTGATCTGCAACGCAGTTAGGAAGTGTAGAGTGTATTCTCCGTGACCTCGGCGACGCCGGGAATTTGGTGTCACCCGGATTTCGATAACCGGTTATTACCCGACAATCTAGATTAGTCGACGCGGACTTGGCGACGCTCGCCGCCCCGCTCGGCGATTCCGCTCGATAATAATTACACTCGAACGTCCTCAGCTTTACTTAATGATCGACGAATTTTCAGGATACACCGTATTTGGTGCACGATAGACAAGTTAGTGTCACGTGCGCGGTGATAACGCGGAATTTCCAAATTTCGGTGATTCCGTTCGATAATAATTAAACACTCGAGCGTCAGCTCCGAGTCAGCTTTACTTAATGATCAACGAATTTTCAGGATACACCGCTCTTGGTGCGTGACAGACGTCAATGTCACGTGCGCGGCGATATGCTAATGGCACTGATAACGCAGAATTCCCAGATGACGTGATTAATCCATTCGTCGTCGCTTGACTTTGGACGTCGGACTGCGCGACGTTTAGCGGAAACGAATGCAGCCAGAAACGAATGATACGCCGACCATGATTCATAGACTAGGACCATCGCCGCCGCCGCCGCCGCCGCCGCCGCCGCCGCGGACGTGTCCTCGCGGTCGCGTCGGAGGAGTTTCGCGTGCTTGCTAGAGCGTCGTCGACGCGTTGAAAAGTCTCTCGCGAAGGCCGTCGAAAATGTCACGAGGCCACGAAGCGGATTCCCTTAGCATTCGCATAGAATTTCGGCTGTTGTTGTGTAAACTTAACGCGCCAAGGCGCAGATTCAAGTGCGAAGTCAGAGCCGCAATTTCAAGGCGCACGAAGCTTAAATTCCTCGGGCGTATCTTGTGAACAACGTGAGCTTCGCTCTCGTGAATCTTCGCTCGGCGCTGATCCGAGCTAGGATCTTTGAGATCCGCCGACGCGCGTGGATTTTGGCTCGCTTTGTCAGCCAGTTGTCGCTTGTTTCGCTCTCGCGGAGACGCGTTCGTTCGCAGCTTTCTGGCGCGAGTCTCACGCCCACGCTCGTTAATCGCGCCCGCCGCTGAGAGTCGTCAAAGCCGTTCGATCATCGCTGGTTATATTAGATCATCGACGAAATTCGCGTTACAACGGCTCGCATTCAACCTCCGCCTCCGCGCCGTCTCTCGACGACCATTCGAAAGGAAAAAATGCGCGCCGATACTTTCGTTCGCTGACATCATCGGTAACGATCTGGCTTCTCGTGAGAGGTTCTCGTGAGAGAAAGAGAGGAACGAAAAAAGCGATGCGACGCGAATTGCAAGCACAAGCCGATAATTCGGCTTGACGATTCGAGAACGGGCGAGAGACTCATCGCGCGGCCGGCGGAATGCTTTTGCATTTCCCGATAGGCGGTACAACGCGCGTCAACGCTATTTCCGACGTCGGAGAAGTGAATGGCGCCGGCGGAATATCAAATTATCGCGAGACAAGTATCGGCACTTTCTACCTCGGCTTGGCGTGCGCGTCTTTTTCTTTTTCTCTCTTTCTCTCTCTCTCTCTCTCTCTCTCTCTCTCTCTCTCTCTCTCTCTCTCTCTCTTTCTTTCTCCGCGTCTCGTCCACACCGACGGCGCGTTTTGCGGCAAGATTTCGGAAACATCGTGCGGACGCGCCGGCACCGAAGCGCGGACCACAAGCGGTGAAAGCACATATGGTTCCACGCGCGACGGTGAGTTTCGAGGCGACGGATTGTGTGCGCGCTGCGGCGGATTTTGCAACGCGTCGATCCGTATGTGGCGATAGAAACCGTCGGTTCCGCGCCGTAACACCCGCGCCGCGCGCGCATTCGCGTTCGCATTCGCATTCCGTTAACCCGCCTGAAACACACACCGTCGGGCACACGTCGTATTATCGCGTTTTATCGCGGGACGCTCGCGAGGCGCTTGTAAAAAGGCGCGCGCGCGTGCGAAGAAAGATAAAAAAAAATGGAATCGTAATTACCCGCGGCGGATGCGAGGAGGCGGCGACATCGGCCACGCCGCGCGCGTTCCTTCCATCCCATATGGACCGCGAAACTCGCCGATGCGCGGTAGAGCCAAACCCGCCGGGCGCTTTCACGAATTTCAGAATCGTCGCGTGAAAAATTCACGCGGGAAAGTCGGCAAGGTGTAAAGAATCGAAAGTTTCGAGCCGCCGCGGCGGCGGCCGCGGATTGCAGCTTTTATCCCGCCCGCGAAAGCCCGCGGCGTCTTGTTTTCTTCCCTCTCTTTCTCTCTCTCTCTCTTTCTCTAGTTTTTTTTTTCGCCAATGTAACTTTTCGCAGTGTTAACGTGTCGTTCGCGTTCGTTCGCCGCTCGACAAACAAAAGTACCCATCGCCGGCGCACAAAGGGACGCGACGTAGAATGGAGCGCTCGATTTCCGAGCGTTGGAAGCGCTCGTTTTCCGCGTAACTTTCGAGCAAGTAATGAAGTATTGCGTCGTCTTTTGTGCCGCCGCCGCGTTCCGCGCGCGCCGAATAGAGCGCACGCCTCGGGACGGGGTCCTAGAAAGTGTTCGAATTGATAAAAAGCCGCGCTTTCTAAATGTCTCGATTCCGGCGCGCATCAGCACTTTTTCTATCCGTCGCTACCATTCTCCGACGCGGCGGATCGGCCGACCTTTGGCTTCTCCGGCCTTCACTTTTCCGCCAATTGTTGCCCGTATTCGCCCATGCGCGTGGTGCGCATACGGTTTGCATAATTGACAAGCGGTTTCGGCGATCTCGAGAGTTCGCTCGTTCAATCGCGTCTCCGCAGAGGCGAGCGGCAAGCGAGGACAAAATTTACGACGCGTTTTAGACTTCGCGTCAAAATCAATATTGTGTCTGGAACTTTGTCGGTTGCTTTTTTCGGTCTTTTTTTTCTCTTTTCTTTTTTTTTTTGCGCATTCAAAGCGATTTTGCGAAGGAAACAGGTTCTTCGCCTCCAAGTTCCTCCACGGCTAGCGTTGATGGGAACGATTCCGCAAGCGGCACAATAAAATTATACCGGTTTGTAATCCCGCTCGAGAGGAAATTCCAATCGCGCGCTATCGAGATTGCGAGGCGATGCGATCGACCTTCCAGACAGATGCGCGGTTTCCGGTCGGTCTCCGCCGGCATAAACAGTAGGAATAAGCGCCCCGTGCTTTTTCACGCGGCGCCGACGCCGCCGTCGCGTTATATAACCGCAATTTCGCAAAGTCCCGCGAGCAAAGTCTCTTTCATTGTGCATATTAATTCGCGATACGCGACTCCCCCTCCCGCGCCCCGACTCGTGACACCGATAGCACTTATCTCGTGTTTGATTGCGATTGATAATAAACACGCGTGTTCCCGCTTATGATTGTTGATATTAAGGATTAGTATAGTTCTCGTGTCTAATATAGTGGAGATTTGTATACGCGGCCGGAGCGATATTATATGCTCTTATCAGTCCACGCTCCCAAAAATAACAAAGATACCGGAAGTGATGTATCTCGCGTCCCTCTCTCTCTCTCTCTCTCTTCCTCCTCTCTCTTTCTCTCTCTTCCTCCTCTCTCTTTCTCAGGCCGCTGATAGTCACTTCATGAGCAACGTTGTATCGCGTAAACTATCGGTCTTCCTGGTGCTTCGTTTTGCCAACACGCACGACGATCGTTTAGACCGTACTTAGTACCGATTAGGAGTTTTATTACAGCCTGACGATTAAACGATATATCAATTTATCGTGGCGATGTGGCGATTAGGTGTGTCCGCGTTTCTTTAATATTACAGCCGCGAGAGCCTCGCGTGTGTCGCGCGTTGTGCGTGTATCCATTGTATTGTTGTACATGTGCGTTTGTATTGTTGTATCATACACGCGAGCGTTACATATGGTATATAAGTGAGGCATCTGTTCCACTTTCGACATTGTAAACTCGCGTGTGTCCGGCATGCGAATTCAGTAAATTTTTCGAGCGCGCAGACGCTTCGCATTCCACGCTACTGGCCGCGCGTTCCCGCGCGGAAACCAGAGACACGGCGCCGCCGCTGATCCTGTGCTCGCATATTGCAGGTGAAGCCCCAGCATGGCCAGCAGATGACTGTTAGCCGAGCCGGTGCTCGTACTGACTCTAATATGAGCGAAGTAGTGGCAGTGACGCCGACTGGTGGACCTATGCGCCAGGAAAGCGTGACACACATCAAGAGGCACAAACTTGCCAACTGTAATGTTCCTCTCGTACACGGCCGGCCGAATCCGTCGATTAGTCCACGCAGCAGACTGACCACGCATCAACGAAACCAAAGCCTGGACTTCAGGTACGAAGACTTCGCGCGACTTCGCTCCGCGGGGGCGGCGGATCTGCACTCAGCCAGCAGCCGCTCTCGTTATCGCACGTGCTCTCCTGAAAAGCCGCTTCCTGAATATTTGCGAGCCACTTCGCGCGAGCTATTTGCGAGCGTGATGCGCGCGCCTGGCGATGGCGCGCGTGTGTATCCTGGCACTTGTTGAATAAGCGATCGTAAATCCGCCTCGCGCGCGCGTGTATTACGCGCCACGGTTGCGCGATCGGCAACGTGCACGAGAACTCGAGCGATGAGGCAGGAGAAAAAGGAGAAGAAGAAATAGTAGTAGTAGTAGTAGTAGTAGTAGTAGTAGTGCGACAGTTACATTGTCGTGGCCAAATTGAGAAATATGCGCCGAGATACTTAAATCGGCCGTCGGCTGCAACGCGACGGCCGACGTCATCAATATTAATAACCGCGCTGCAGCGCGTAATCGCGGCCGCAGCCGCTGTCGTATCTATTTTCTTCGTCGTACGCTCTTTCGCAGCCGCCAGCTGGAAACTGGAGCCGGCTAATGTCGCGTGCACGCGATCAAAGTATGCGCGATACGAGTGGAAAGTCTATTATCTAGAGAATAGAATGGAATGGCAGACAGAGAAAACTCTCGGCCACTATTCGCCGCGGAACATTCTATTCCATCGGTAGATGTTGATATTTAAAGTGCACTTGTAGTCGAGAAGATTTGCGATCGTACTTTGTATCCGGGAACTTCGTATGAAGTAGTAGCCTGTCGAAAAGAATCTCGGCTAATCGTGTTAATCGTGGCTAAATGCTAAAGTCTGTTTTGGCCGTTGTTTACAGATCAATGGGCATCATACTACCACCGGTGTCCCAGACGAACGCGACGACGTCGACGCACCATCACAGGAACCGCAGCCTCGACTCCGCGCTGCAACGGATCCCGGAAGTGGACGTGACACCCAGCCCGGAATGCGAGAATCCGGCACCGGTCGCTAAGGCGGCCACATCGTCGGGGCCTTGCAAGGGGCGCAGCCGGGAACGCGAAGACCTGGCTAGTCTCGGTTCCGACGACTCCGGTATCCTGTGCGGTTCCGACAGCGGCTCGAGCGACGCGACCAACGCCGCCACCCGCGAGTCCAGTGTGGATCATTTGCACAGCCGCGAGAGTCTCGACTCGTCCGTGTCGCAGCCGGGCGACATGTATTCCGTGGACGCGGTGGACGGTGCAGAAAACAGTGATGTGTCGGTGTCGGTATCGGTGCCGGTGTCACCCGTAGAACTGTCCACGCGTCTCGCCGATGAGTCGTCAGTGTCAGCCAAGGACGAAACCACCACCGCCGCCGCCGCTGCCGCCGCCGCCACCGCCGATGACGACAGTGGCCATCATCCACGGCGCGACGACGTGAACGCTGAACGTTGCTCACAGGAGCCGCGATCGAACATTACGCGAGAACATTGCGACTACCAGCAGCAGGAGCGCGTCCCCGAGATCAGCACAGCCGTCTATCACCATCCGAGCGCCATGCAGACATCGTTGACGCAGGTGGCCGACAACACCCAGAGCGAGCTGGCCGGTGCGGCCATGACTCTCTGTTGCGGCGCAGCGACGCAGCAGGAAATCGAGACGGTGAAGAAACAACAGCCGGACGTCGTCCGCCGGCAGCAGGAAACGAAACAGCCGAAACCGTCGGAGGGTTGTCTGCTGCGGCTCTTCGAAAGTCAGATATTCGACATGTCCATGGCTATCTCTTACTTGTTCAATTCCAAAGAACCTGGCGTGCAAAGTTATCTAGGTATGCGGATGTATCTTTGTCGAGGAGAAGAAATCATCTTTATCATAAGTTATCTTTGTTATAACAAAATCTGAGTCACCGATCGTACCGATAGGGAATACTATTGCAAAATAATGGTTTGCGTTTTTGTTCTCTACGTCCGGTTAACTTGACGATGAACGTAACGCTTGATATTGCAGGTAACAAGATGTTCAGTTTTCCGGATAACGATGTGGACTTTTACTTACCACAATTAGTTGTGATGTACATACAGCTTCACGATGTAACAGAAGTCCTTTATCCATATCTTGTCCATAGGTAAATATCGAAATTATTTTATTCGAGTGCGTGTCTACAAAATGATAACTTGAACAGACGAGAACATCGAACAAACGAACATGCTCTCTTGCAGGTGTAGACAGTCGGCAGATTTTTCGTTAAAGTGTGCTTGGCTGTTAGATGCGTATAGCTCCGATGCTCATTTGCCATCAAAGAAAAAGTCTCATGGGACCAAATTAAAGAATCTTATCCTGTCGGATGAACTCAGGTAGGAGCAGAGAGAGAGAGAGAGAGAGAGAGAGAGAGAGAGAGAGAGAGAGAGAGGAGAGAGAGAGAGAGAGAGAGAGAGAGAGAGAGAGAGTAAAGCTTTGGGAATCTGATTTCGGATATGATTCCGAAACTATTGTCGCGAAGGTTCCCGGCGAAACAGACTTGCTTCTAAACGTGTTAATGTTTCAGGCCAAAGGGAAATGAAGGTCGGAAGCCACGCATCATTGGATTGCAAGTTCCTGCGCCGCCACCGTTGCCCTCGACGCAAAACCTTACGTCTCCGAATAAGAAAACCCACCAAAGATCTCAGTCCGACGCTACTGGATTGTTTCAGACCATACGCCGTAGTCATTCCGGTAAAGAAAAGTCCGAATGAAAATACATTTGATAATTCTTATGACGTAGCGACGATCGTTTCAAAGTCTGTAGCGACGTGTTCTTCATTTTTTCGAAAGGTACAATAAATAAAGTAAGTCTTGGGGACCTGAGCTCTGGTCGAGCGTTTGACAACGGCTGTACCTGCTTCTATTCCTGCCAAGGTGTGGTGAACGATTTACGAGGCCAAAAGACCGACTGTTTCTGTAATGTGAGTTGCTACTTTGCACGGCACAACTTGCCGGATCTTATCGTACTCGAAGACGGCATACCGACGTAAAATCTGTCCTACGACCACAGGCACCACGACTCGCGCCAGAACTCGAATTTATTCAAGCATTAATATCAATCGGCAAATTGCTCGGAACCATCCCGACGAAGGAAAGTAAAACCGTTCAGTTAGTAGCGGAGCTCAACACGCTCAATTTGAATCTCCCCGCGAGGGTGTGGCTTCCTTTGCACAGCACGATACCACATCACATCGTGCGAGTCCCGCCGCAGTACGCCGCAGTTCTCAACAGCAAGGACAAGGTGTGCACATTGTTTCGCTCGCGCCTCGTTTCTTCACACTTCACTCTGCAAATCTCGTCAGTTAGTGAGAATAATATACACATGTTTATCGTTACAGGCACCCTATATAATATACGTGGAAGTGTTGGAAGTGGAGGATCTGTACACATCGCCCGTGCCAACGAAAATAATGGGGAGCTCGTTAAGGCACACTAAGTCCGAAGAAAACTTGACAGGTGGCGAACAGTCCAATACAATGGCATCGTCTAACAACAACATATCCACTTCGACCGACAGCGAGCAGAATTCGACGATATCGTCAACGCTACGGCAAACCCCCGTGAAAAATATCTCGCCGTACTCCGTCAGGAACACAGACGTGGCGTTCAGTTTTCCTGACGACGATCCCAACGACTGCTGGAGCCAGGAAGACGACGAAATTACACAGCAGGTACACAATCTCATTCGAACGGCCGTATATTGTCGTTGATGAATGAGGGAGGGGGGAGGGAGAGAGAGAGAGAGAGAGAGAGAGAAAGAGCGCTAATGTTACACTTCACTTCTGCAGTATCTGCAGCTTCGCAAGCCGAAAGACCGGGACACCATATCGCAATTAAGTCAAGACTCGTCCGACAGCAGGGAGCCAATCTTCGTGCCGGGCGACATTAAGAGGCGATTAAGCGAAATGGCAGCTATGCCCAGCGCGACGTTCAATCACGACCCCGAGGATCCATCGGCGGCGGTACTCAAGGAACCGTGGGAGCAGAAGCAACGACGCATCAGAACTTCCAGTCCGTACGGGCACTTGGCGTCCTGGAGATTGCTCGCGGTGATCGTGAAGTGCGGCGACGACCTCAGGCAGGAGCTTCTCGCCTCGCAGTTGCTCTCGATGTTGCAAAAGATCTGGCAGGATGAACAGGTGCCGCTTTGGGTGCGGCCGTACAAGTGAGTGTAATTGACGTGTTACTCGTAGTCTCGCGCTGTACAGTTGTGCCTGAAGTTGTTGAAACTCTAAAGTTCCCGTCGTAGAATCGTCGTGCAATCGATGTAACGTTCTCCGAATTCGATTGATCCCGCAGAATACTGTGCCTGTCCAACGACAGCGGTCTGATCGAGCCGATCCTGAACACAGTGTCGCTCCATCAGGTGAAGAAGCAGTGCCAATTGACGCTTTTCCAGTACTTCGAACGGGAGTTCGGTCCGTCTATCTCGGAGACGTTCGGCGTCGCGCAGAAGAATTTCATTCAGAGCTGCGCCGCTTACTGTCTGGTCAGCTATCTCATTCAAGTGAAGGACCGTCACAACGGCAACATCCTGCTGCACAGCGACGGCCACCTGATCCACATAGACTTTGGTTTCATCCTGTCGACGTCACCTCGTAATCTGGGCTTCGAGACCAGTCCGTTCAAGCTCACGCCCGAGTTCGTCGAAGTGATGGGCGGCAATCAGTCCAAGATGTTCGAGGAGTTCAAAAGCTTGATCCTCCAGGGCTTGATTGCGGCACGGAAGCACATGGAGAAGATAGTAAACCTCGTCGAGATCATGTTGTCGGGTAAGAAGCGATTCGTATCAACGGCCGCTCGCTTGTACGGCGACTTTTAATCGGGCATATTCAACGGGGTTCTATCGATTTTCCGCAGGCTCTCAACTTCCGTGCTTCCGCAGCGGTGGGGCGGCGACTGTTCAAGGTCTCAAGAATAGATTCCACCTCACGCTAACTGAGGATCAATTACGTCGGCATGTCGAGGATTTGGTCGAAGGCAGCATTCATTCGTGGTCCACTAAACTTTACGATCGATATCAATACTTTGCAAATGGCACTCTTTAATATCAAGGCTAAACCCTTTCTCTCCCTGTCTGTCGTATTTCGGCTAAGTCGGAAGGAAGGGGCATCGATTAGGCTACGTGATGCTTCTTCTGCAATTTTTACACACACACATACTTTTATAGCGGGCTTGGCCAATTGACGGTGTGCGCATGTCGGCATTTGCGTCCGTTCGTGTCAGTCCACGTCGCGTGAGCAAATTTATTCCGTGTTACTGTTGTATAGTTGCAATGATAATGCGGCGCGAAAGAATTTACACTTAATCGGCATGTTGCATAATTAATAGTGCAATTTGCCGTTTGTTTTAATTCGCGTTAAAGTTTCCTCCGCATTTATCTTTTTATTTGCTTCAATCGCCATACTTTGAAAGAGAGAGAGAGAGAGAGAGAGAGAGGAAGGGAGGATCTGAGAGAGAGAAAGAGAGAGGGAGAGGGAGAGAGACTGTTTCTCTCGATTTCTATAATGTGTAAATACAAATTAATTTTTTCGATTGCGTCCAGTGATTGCACGATGGCGGAAGAAAACTAAGATTCTCCCCTAGGCACGCGTCAACTGATTTCGGTTGGACAGCGCCGTCTTCTAGCATTCCACAAGCACAAATGACGTTTAAAGTGGGTAATACCGCTTTCCTCTTGGATATGTAAGATAGCCTCGATTAGGCTAGGTATAGAATTCGAATAGATTATTCTTCTTTGAGTTTGACGTTTATTCCTTGCTTTCGTGGTGGATTAAACGATATGAAATATTTTTAGCCAAATTCAGAGCGGTCTGATGACGTCTGATAAATTAAAGGCTTGATTAATGAGATGGGAGATAAGAGAGAGAGAGAGAGTGTGTGTGTGTTTTGAAATGAAAAAGCACGAATCGCGGTTTAAGTGGTGATGAGCCTCGTTGAAAGTTAAAAATATTTATCGTCGTTTGAGGAGAGTTGCGAGATGAAAGAAGGAATAATCTATGGGCCTTATGGGGTACCCAGTTGATCACATATATCCACTATATATACATATATATATATATATATATATATATATATATATATATAATATGTTTTTTGTTCGATACATTAAGACTGCTGTTTACGTATGCCTCGATTGACAAATTACGAATTAGCTATCGCCGGTGCAGAGACGTGGCGTCGTCTATTGACTGAGCGTGGGACTGCAAAGTCGAGTGTAGCTTAAAAACAGCGTAATTTGTTAAAGGTGCCTTATTTGTGTAGAGAATGGTGGAGATGATCAAATCTAGACACACAGTGAAGTGGCGTGCACGTGGCAATCTAAAACTGGAGCTGATCGATTGTGTAAAGCGGACAATCTGTAATTTGTACATATAACAAATTAAAAGGAAAATCGAGGCGAAAAAACGAAGAGAAAGAGAGAGAGAGTTGCGTGAACTTTCGTAGATAATTCGCGGCAATAAAAAAAAAACGAACAGTAGAATCTATCCTGCTACCAGCGGCAGGACGAAATCGATGAATCTCCATTTCAAAGGAGATTCTAACGCGATTTTGGCAAACGCGTGAGCAAGAGCTACGTACAAAACAGGCTCTCGGATATTAGTGGGAGGTGAATACTCAAAATATTTCCTACTTCGTAGATTGTAGTATACTCTTCGATAAATACATCTAATTGTACGCGGTAATGAATTAAGGACAAGCATTATACATATAGCGAATCTTAAGCAGGTCGCATTTGAAAGTTTTTACATGTTCTTATTACATAATTAAATTCATCCATCCTCCCCATTGCCCCCCTTTTTCATAGTCGTGAATGCGCAGAATGTCGTATAATTGTGTATGTACCGGAGGGTAATATTATTATTTAATCGCAGTTTTCCGCGTGCATAAATTTTACGTATGTCCGTTTTTAAGTAAGTAAATTATATAATTACGCTAAAGAGATATTATACATAAAACGACAAATTTTATCATTATTATTATCATCATCATCATCGTCATCGTCGTCGTCATTGTCATCATCATCATCATCATCATCATCATCATCATCGTCATCATCAGTTGTATCGTTTAAGGATCTAATCGAGGATGAATGTTCGAAGCAAAATCAAAGTCACGTTGACGAGCCAGCCCGGAGTACGAGAGACCTGGGCCCTCTGACTTCCAAGTGTCTTATATCTCTCTCTATCTCTATCTCTATTCTCCTCCTATCATAACCGTCTCATGATAGACAGGCAGACCAGGAATCGGATACGATTGTGCGATGTTTGAGAGAATGCGAAATCATCCGTCGATATCCCGGTGTGTGCTCGGGTTGTCTTTTTCGTATTTTTTATTTCGGTCGGCTCTCGTAAAAGAAAAAAAAGAATTGTATAATATGCGTGTGATTAATGCGATTTTAACATTCGTTGTTATTGTAAGAGTGATTGCGGAGCGATACGCAGGCGAGGGAAGTCAACGGCCCTTTATCCCCCGGTCGACTGAACGCGCCCGACTTCCCGTTCCGTCAAGATGCGTGAAACGTCAAGATCTCTGATTTGCCTTGATCTTTCACCTCATTACGAGCTCTATTGATAATATCAATTATTGAATAAATACGAATGCGATATAGACGGAGTTTTCCATTTGGTACCTAGTCGTTGTACGTGTCGTTGTACGTGTCGGCGATATCGATTACGTTGTCTACGACAACGAGAATGTTCGAGATCATGTTAACATCCGCTTGGATGTTAACAGAGGTGACAAGTAGTAAGAAAGTTGTCCTGACTCTTTTTATTATTTTCGGGTACATCAGCGGGCATTGAGATTACTGGGTTGGTCTTATGATACTAAGTAAACAATCGTTACTACAAGACATCGTTATTAGTCAGCAGGGAGTTGCAAATCGAAGCTTACATTTAGGATTTAAGGAACGCTTGAGAAGTCGGAGATGAAGGAAAAGAAGGAGAAACAATAAGTATATCACAAGTATAATAATAAATTTTATAGCGAAATTATTGCGCATCGCTGCGCACTAAAAGCTGTTGTACAGAAAATCACGTAAAAGGCAGATGTATGATATACGAGCGGCCGAACCTGCGAAATGCTCGATTATCGTATCCGACGGACTATATTTTTGATCGGTTGCGTGTAATCAATGCTAGTTATTCCGTCGACTAAGATGCTTACGTTATATATATATATATATATATATATAATACACACATATATATATATATGTATGAGATTCGAGGCTTTACTTATATTATGCTTCTGCGCTTTTAGTTATCTTTGTGTCCATACAACGATGTGTCCATTCTAAACAAGTACGTACAATCGAATCGCTAATAATAATTTACGGAGATCATAGAAACAGTCTTATATTCTAGAGAGCTGCTGCAGTAAGTTGGAGGGTAAAATGGCTTCCAGCTTGTCCAGGATGTAGTAGAACGGATGGGAGAACCAAGCGAGCATCGAGCGGGCGACTACGCCCATCGTGTCCGGGTACTGATGGGTGAGCAGGGCCAACAGCGCCGTGAAGGAGCACAGACCGGCGGTGAAGAGAATGAAGAAAGGAAGCTCTTTCTTCGGATATACGCTGACGTCGTGGAACGCCGGCAGCAATTCCCGGTCGGCGCATTCCGTGCACGTCGGGTATGGATAGAAGAGATGGCCACGCTCCAACGGATAAGGCAGCATCCTGAAGGTGCCTTCCCATGTGCAGTGGAGCAGATTCAGGGCTCCCTCGATCTGCTTCCAGTGCGCCAAATGGAAGAACGCGTATGCAATCGCCTCGGAGTCGCCGCGCTTCAGTACATGCTCGGGCGGCAAGATGAGCGGCTTCATTTCCAAGAGATACTTAGGTACATGTGGATTGAACTCCACTGCCCGATGGATTGCCTCCACTGCTGACATCTCAGCAGTGGTTAAACCCCGTTTGCTGGCGACGTCAGGCGAGAATTTGTCCGCCACCAGTCTCGCCTTCAACAACGCTGCTGTGTAGCAGATGGTCGCTGATTTCGGTAGACTGATGTCGTCGTACTTGGCTAATACCGCTTGCACGTCCGCATACGCCTGCATTTCCAAGAGGGTCTCTATCAGATTCTCGTGGATGTTCAAAACATTCATGATCGGCGGCACCTCCTTCGTGAGGTCGCGAAACATCTTCACCGCTTCCTTCAGTTTTCCTAACTTCCGTGCGCACATCGCCAATCGTCTCTTGATGTAGATTAATACATTTGTGTCCCGTCTATGTATCGCCTCGGCTATGGAGCCCTGGTGTTGGGTATTCTGCGACCTCCTGTAATTATTCTCTGCAACTTTCAATGCTTGTTTCAGAATCTTCTCAGCCTCTACGATAGTAATAGCTTCCTCTTCTGCGAGGAGGATGTATGCTGGGGCACAGTCTGGATTACGATCAAGAGCACTGTGTGCAGCTTTTATCCTTACTACTGGATTCCGCTCCCTCCAAGCTGTCTGCATAATTTCATATTCTGCTTTACCTGTAAAAGAGAGATCAATTGATCTCGGATGATTATTTCTTTCATCTTATCAGTCAAATATTTGGATTCTTTGTAATAAATAATTACATGCTCTATGCATCGTACATACAAATATAAACACAAACACATTACAACACATCCTCATTAAGATACCAATGACAGGACTGTTGTACCTCACCTGTGTCACCTTCGCACGTGAAGAACGTCTGATGATCTTGAGCTGACAGATTCATGTCATAATACGTCAGTGGTTCCTTGTTGGTGGCCCAATAAAATCTCTGGTACTCCGCGCCTCTGAACAGATTGATCGGATTACGCCATACCTTACACTCTGGTACGTTCTGTTGATTCGAGGCACCGGAGCCGTTCAGGCTAGAGTTGTTGCCGTCGTTGGTGCTGTCACCGCCGCCGATCCACGGCGAGATATGATTCAACGATACCTGCTCGATGAACGAAGTGCCGTACTTTCTGAAGTACCACCATTCGAAGATGAGAATCAGTCCAGAGATGAGGGACGATGTGCCGGTAAGGGCGACGTAGAATTTTGGGGTTAAGGTGCTCAGGAACATTGTAGAGTCCCACATGCTGGTGAATAGCAGTGCCATTTATGCTCTAGAGAACCGTTGCGCCCCGACGCGCTCACCCGCTCTCTCTCTCTCTCTCTCTCTCCGCGTCGCGTTGCTTATGCGAGAGTATCTTTTTTCTGCTCTTTTCTCTTCTTTCCCGACGAAGAAGCAACACCGCGGAGATGACGGTTTACGCAACGCGCGACATCGACAGTCCTGATGACGAGCGTTAACAGTAAAGCACCATAAAATCACTTTTGCAGCACGGCAGCCTTCGCCTCGAGTCGGCCTGTGTTCGTAAACCCGACCAAAAGTCGCCGAAACGTGAACACTCCGCTCAGCACACGCGCCTCGCCACGCACTCCCGGCGCGTAGTAAATATTTTCGACGCGCACACGACAGGGCCACGGCGACGCTACGAGATGATGAAATCGATACGGGAGAGTGTCATGATTGTTCTTGTGGAGCTGCGTCGATAAGTGACAAGCGAAGACTCCCCCGTTCGCTTCACCGTCGATATTGACCGACGATTCGACTTTCTGTCGTCGACAATTCGACGACAGATGGCAGCAGAATGACGTGCCAAGTCTCTGACGATCCCATCGAGGATTCCCGTGTTTGCGGATATTTCGTTGCGATAGGTTATCAAACAATGCGTTATCAGTGTTATGCGATTTATTATTATCCAAATACGTAAATGTGCGCAAACACCTACGTCGTAGGAATATCCGTATACTTTTGTGCGAATCTGCATGATCGTACAGTCGCCGCGCTCAAGTGGCGTACCACTTTTATGCAACGCTGTGGGTGTTAATTAGAAGCTATTAGTAGTGTAGATGTATATAGCAGTTGAGATATTTGATGATTAATCATCTTTTGTAACTTTTAAAACGACACGTGCGTTTTCACATTTCAAATATTAGAGCCTCTTGAAGTATAATCTTATGCGCACTCTTTGAGATATACGTTGAATTTCTAATCGGCATACAAATTATCACTCCAGGGGGTGTGCTGCCTTGAGCATCGATATTTCAAGATTGCAATCGTAACGATCTTCAGTTGTTTCCGGAATGGTGCTCGGTCCGATTTGCTCCCGAAGAGTCGTCCCATACTTTTCGCAAGTTCAGCTCGCCTAAGTCTTGCGAGTCTCGCCGCGTCGCCGAATTATCGCCGGGAGTGCTGAAAGTAAGTTTCGCGCGTGTGTCGCGTGCTGAAATGTCGCTGTATAACCCCGAGTGGAAGCGTCACAAGTGATCTGTGTACGAATCTGTGTAGCGGTGGAATGTCGTTAGTCGCCGAAAGTGAAAATCCGGCGGAACGAGTCGGTGGTGTCGAGTGAAGTAGTGCGCGCATCAAGATAGTTCGCGAATATCTCAAGCATCGCGAGACTTCGGTCAGTTACGGAATCAGATGGTGGACGCGTCGGATGTTCTCGAACGATCGGACGTTCTCAAATGGCAATCCCGTACCTCTCTCGCGATTACAATTCGCCGAAGGTGAGTTTCGCGTCCGAATTATCGCCGGGAGTGCCGAAAGTGAGTTTTGCGCGAGTGTGTGTATGTGTGTGAGGAAGCATCGTTAAATAACTCCTGCGAGAGGTCATTTCGCGAAACGGTCAGTCGGGGGAATACCGACCAAAATGTCGCACGTCCGTTGCGTTATGGTGAGTGCAAGTTCGAATTACTGGGCTCACTAGAGGCATGTTCAACGTGAATTATCACTGCCGGGAATGACCGAAGTAAGTCTCGAATCTTTATTGTGGGAAAGTGTCGATAAAAATAATCGGCGAAAATGGATATTCAGTATAACCAGTATAAATATATGTATTCATATACGTGATGGAAGCCGTTGCAAGAGTGAAGTTGCCGTTGTCGAGTGAAGTAGCGCTCATCTATAACATAAATTTGTGTACGTCTTTGTGCACATCAGTCGTGAATTCGGTCGATCACGAGATGGATCGCGGCGCGCGATACGTCTTCGAACAGTCGTCCTGCGTCTCTCGTGATGTTAACTCGCCGAAGGTGACTTTCGTGTCCTCTCGGGAATCTCCGAGAGCAATCTCCGCGCAGTTGTTATGACGCAGTACTATACAACGGTCGAAAATGAATATTCCGCGAAACGGCCATTCCAGCGGTGTCTCACAATGTCAGTTCAAAGTCAGACTTGATATTTTCGATCGTCCGGAGAAGTCTCGTGTGCGAATTATCGTTTCCGGGAGTGCGGGAAGCAAGTGTCGTTTTCTGCGGACAAAACACCAATGCGCGTTGCGTAGAACGTCATTATCGATATTGGAGCATATTTCCATCATCCATATAGACAGCTTCTGCTTGGTGAGTAGACATTTTCACAGTTACTTATCACGTTTTGTAATCAATACCTATATAACGCGAAACACCACGTCAACGCGATTTGTGAGGATTTTAATGGTTTAGACGAAAACTTTGTCACTCATATTTTTTATCTATAATTGGCGATCGATCGATTCTGACATATCGGCTTCAATTTCTCGCTAACGAATAGGCGCATGTCGTTGCGATTTGTGAGGATCTTACTTATTTTGGGTCTAGATTAAAACCTTATCACTCATATTTCGTTAATTAATATTTCGTGACCTGACATTTTCTGGCCTATTACTTTTTGATCATTCGATAACTCCAAATGCGATTTGCTCGGATCGTTCTTATTTCGAACTTAGATCAATGTCTTATTGCAAATAATTATGCAGCCTATACCCGGTGACTCGAGATTTTCGCATCGATCGAGATTGACCCATCGGCTTCAATTTCTCGCGAACGAACAGGCGCACGTCGTTGCGATTTGTGAGGATGTTAGTTATTTGGTGTCTAGATTAAAACTTTGTCACTCATATCTTATTTATTTACAATCGGAAGCCCGACTTTTTCTTACTTGTCACTTTCCGACCTTTCGTGGCCTCTGTCTTCATAGCTTTGTTGACAACGGGTAATCGCAGCTCGATGCGGTATAATTTCGTGTTGCATCTTTTTTTGTAACTTATACTTGGTGACTCATCATTTCTCATCGGTTAATTTAAATTTTTCAGCGTTAATAACGCGTCATAAGGCATAACGTTAGGTCAATGCGGTTTTGGAAGGATGTTGCTTATCTTGAGTCTAGATTAATCTTGTATGACTTATATCTTATATTTGTTGACTCGTTATTTCCACATCGGGCTATGACGCCGGTTAATGTTTTTTTAAGACGTAAAGTAACGTCGATCGGTTTACGTGCATTTTATCGGCAAAAATTAGCTACGCGTTTGGAACGTTATGAAAATACGTCTTTGTTTTCCATGTTTTTTTTTTTCTTTCTTTTCTGTTTCCATTTTCTGTTGTCCGTTTTCTTTTTGTTTCGCTTTTGTATCGTTATACTGATTTTACTCTCTGAAGTTAGTTCTCCATTGTACACGGACGGATATATCGAAATTCGCTTACAATGTGTGCGGCTTATGTAAGAGCGAGGAAGCAGATAACCGGAATAATAGAAGCATACTGAGTGCACAGTGGACGGATAATGGGTCACTACGGACACGCGGGGATATCTTGCATTGCACCTTGAACGTCTCCGCGCGCTCGAAGGTCTTTCCTTCTGTCTTTCTTTCTACCATCGTGTCGCGCTTCCCTCGTCCCAATAACCCACTTATCTCGGAGAGGTATCTCCAAGTCGATCGTTTTACCGTGTACAGGGTGTCCTGCGCGCAATTGGCGGTTTTGTTTCTAGTTTTCTATACCGTGAAACCGGAAGATTCTCGAGCAATATGCTACGTGATTAATTAGGCTTCCGTGCGCGTCATGTGAATGATTAATTACACTATCGTTCAGTTTATATAAAGTACGCTTCGGTGGAACTTTAACTCGGTTTACAAAGTTTTACAAGACGTTTACAAGACTTGTGCTGCGAATAATCATGTTTTTCGAGAGAAATCTTTGTCGAGAGCAGTGAATTGCGGAGTAATTAGAGAAATATCTTGAAGATCAAAGTCGCGAGTTCCGGGACACCGTATACGAGCACTTTACCTCCGTGACGTACGTACAAACAGGCGTTTCTAAATAGAATATAGCAGCGCGATTTCTTTAGTTCATCGCGTCACCGGGAATTTCTCGTGGGAGAACGATAAGGCCGATGCTCGTATCTGGCGTTACGCGCTCGCTATTACTCGGGATTATTCTGAATTTATGAAAATCTTGAGAAGCCGGGCCGTGGCAGGACGGGAGTATACGCGATCAATCGCTTCGGATCTCGCGGAAGCTGCTCTTTTTACGCTAAATTGGGCATCGGGGCTTCTCACTCCGAACGTAATGCTTAAATTTAACGTAATGCTTAAATATAGGCGATTGATTCATCCCCTAAATATCTCATGTGATAGGTGTGAGAGAGAGAGAGAGAGAGAGAGAGAGAGAGAGAGAGAGAGAGAGCTACTTTTGAAATATTCCATAATAGAACTTTGTTCAGCCATACGATAGGGTGAGGAAGGTGGATTGGCTAAGCGAGGCGAAGCGAATATTCTTAAACGAGGCGCGCGCGCGATCGTAAATGGTGATAAATGCGAGTGCACGATAAAATAATTTCCGAGGGAAATATTTATAACCGAAGGTGGATGAACTCAAAACTCCTTATCTCCGACTCGACGTCATGAGGTACCATCTTCCCGTCGCTTAACATTTTTAAAGCTTCTCGTCTTCGGTTATATAGTTAACTATGATGCAGACTAAAATATATTGACACATTCTGAGTAACTTGTTCTCCGTGTCTCAGCGTCATTTTTGATATGATATCTTTGATCTTTGATATGATAAGAATGTCGACGTATTTAAATATCTATAATGTTCGAGTTCCGAGCCTTTCCATTTCCTTCCGCTTCACCTATGAGTGACATTTTTCCGTGCCGCATTATCGTTGAGAGGACGATTTCCACCGACGATCTCGCCTATTGTCAATATTCTCGTCGCCATCGCACGCCAGCATCGTCAGAGGAAAGTAAGGAAAGTCTAAGTCGGCCGTGCCGCCATCACTCGCTCCGTTTATCCCCGAGAACGAGACACAATACTCCTGGAAGGAGGTGTTAGGGTGAAACAGGGAAGGAAATCGCGCAATTTATTCACGAAAGGGACGCGTTTCTCTCCTTCTCTCTCTTTCGGGGAAGAAGAGAAGAGAGAGAGAGAGAGAGAGAGCGACGTACACCGGAAAGGAGACGCAAAGGTGTTTCCAGATGTCGCGATTTTACGCCACAAGAAGGAAAGTATGAAGAAAAAACCGTTATATTTTAATTGAACAGATCGTGACGAATAAACAACAAAATAATTTTCGAGGGGAGCATTTACGACCGAAGGAGACGAGATAAAGATTTTTTCGCTCAAATTCGTCGTCATCCTTCACCTCTTTCTCCTCTCCCGTATCCACGTGCGTTCTCGTA